ATCATGTAAAAGTAATTTTCCTTGGTTATTTTGGATCTATATACATAATTTCCATGAGTGAATGGTTTGCATATTTGCTTTGATTCTTTACTAATGTATATTTATGCAAAGGATGCTTATATAGTTGAGGAGCTTACTGAATCTGATTATTTAAATTAGTTTCATGAATGTAGATATTTTCCCATTTGTTAACTCCCTTTTTTTTGTCATAATCAGAACCACCTCGTAACCAGGACCTGCCTCAATGTACATGAAGTGGCGACCTTGCACCGTTGTCATGACTTAGCAGCGGATGCTCTTTCCCTTGCCAGTTCCCAATGCTCTGAGGTTCTTCTCCAGCCCTCATTCCTCACGTTACAGCCTGACACAATACTCACTCTACTGAAGCAGCCGTACCTCAGTGTGGAGTCTGAAGAGGAGCTATTGAAGGTTGGTTGGTCTGTCTGTCACTGATTTGAATTACCCTGTTAGAGATGATAACCTATTTTTCTATATGTAGAGATTTTGTTAATGAATGTTGTTGAACTGCCTTAAAAAAATTTGAGCATGGGTTTTGCTTCATACCTGCTGTTTCACTTCAGGGTGTCATACTCTGGGCTTCCAAGGATCCAGATGAGAGGCGAAAGTGGCTTCCAGTACTGTGCCAAAAGATAGATCTCAGTCTGCTTGATTCACAGACAAGACTGAAGTACATTGCCACCTTAGAAGATAGACAGCTTTTAACAGATGATTTGAAGTATATCATAGCCCCTATAGATGTAAATTCAGATACTGCAGAAGAAGGTTCAGATGACCAAGAAGAAACAGTGAAAAAGACGAGATATAATTCCCAAGAAGAGGTAGGTTTTATTATCACTTTAAATGTAATTCATTGTAAACATATAGCCAAGAAAAACAATAAAAAGCAGACAAAAGCCTTGTGATTTGTACTGTATTTTTTATGCAAATAAGAGTGTACTGCTTTCACTAAGAAAATATATTACTTCAGGTATTGCTGGTAATGGGTGGAGAATCCAATGGCCGGTTATTACGCAACACAGAGTGCTTTGCTGTTGGCTATTCCTCTTGGCGGTGTAGTATACCAGAGGTAGCTGGCCGCCATAACCAACACTATCACCGACTACAAGTTCTTCCTGTTATGAGTCATGCTCGGGTTATGAGGATGTTGTATATGTATTAGGTGAGTTTGAGGTAGATGTTGTGGGAAGTCTCAGTACATTTGCAAGATGAAAGATTTTTAAAGATTTATGCATAGTGAATGGTATCAGTTTATATCTAAATGCCTTCTCATTTCCCTAATTCTGTGTTGTGTATACTCGTATGTGGATTCTTTGGGTCATAATTAAGTTACTAGTGTTACTAGAATTAGAAGTTGCTTACTTTTGTAAAAAAAAGTAAGCAGTGCTTAATTGCTATGTCTAAGATAGACAGGGAATAGATTCGTACCTTCTGCTTTCATTAAGATATTTCCTTGATTTTTATGGGAACCTGCTTTAGATATCAATAAAATTGTTTTGTCTTATCAAAATTTTGCTTTATGGTTGGTTATAGTTTTCAACTCTAATAATTTTCCACTACTATACAAATAGAGTCATAATAAAAAAATCTAGAGTACAGCATATACAGAGAAGAATAAAGACAATGAAAAAACACTTTTGTAAACCCCAAATTCTAATATAGAGAGATATGTATGTCTCCTTGGATTAGAGACAGTAGTACTAAATAGTCACTAACATGCCCTAATGTACTATTTCCTGGCTCAGGTGGTCAGACGAACAGCCAGTTCCTGGCATCATGTGAAAGTTACAGTGTGGTGACTAACAGCTGGCGCCCACTTTGTGACTTGCCTCTCCCCATCCATGGTGCGGCGGCTGCCTTCCTTGATGGTGCTCTCTATGTTGCCGGTGGCAAGTCCATGCGGCAGTACGAAGAAAAACTCTGGGTGAGCACCTTCCCAGGAAGGCAGTCCCGGGAGCATGTCTCAGGCCCAATTTATTCTCTTAGCCCTCTTAGGAAGCCTGTTTTCATGCATCATTTTGACATTATTTGAGATTTTGCCATCATGTCAGCCTACTCCTTCTCCTCTTCCACTGTAGACACTGAAATAGGATTGTGTATATGATTTCTAATTCCTAGTTGGTAGAAGAAGCAGAAAATGATCTGAAAATTAAAAGTTTATTATGTATTGGTTTTCAATTGAACATAATTACAACTAGACCCAAAAACCATAAGATATGGAGATGTAAGAAACCAGTATTAGTAGTTTACCTTCTGTATTTTCAGGATATGTTTCTGTATAATTGATATTTGTTTCCTTCATATATAGTATTAGGCAACTGTATATTTAGTGAAATTGTTGATGGTTAAGCTTAGATTGACTTCATTCACCTGAACATTGTTTCCAGAGTTGAATTAAAAGAAGAAATTAAATCTTATACAGGTGTATGATGTGCAACGTGACACATGGGTGGCTCGAGGATCTCTAAGTTCTGGAAGGGGACACATTGGCATGGCTGCTCTTCATGGGTCCCTCTATGCTGTGGGTGGTATGAGTTGTGTGGGGGGAATCAGTCAAGTACTGGCTTCCTGTGAGAAATTTGACCCAGGTTCAGATATGTGGGTGCCCATAGGTGAGTGCTTGTAAGGGGAAGAACATGCTAGTTGACATGGAATATAATAAACTATAATTATGTATACTGTACTCATTCAGAGTAGAATATAATTTAGCAGTAACATAACATCAATGAATGTGGATAGATCATACTAAAATCAGTAATTCCTTATACTAATGAAATTTGCACTGTTTTGACAGCTTCCCTCTCTCAAGCCCGAGCCTACCATGGAGTGGCAGTTATAAATGACCACCTTTATGCCATAGGAGGATATGATGGAGCACGATGGCTTAGCTCTGTTGAGCGATATGACCCCCTCCGTGATCAGTGGACGACAGGTAACAAGGAATCTGCTGTTATGATAGCAAATTTTAACATATTCATAATGTAAATATTTAAAATATAAAGCTATAGATGTTCTGTGGGCAGTACCTAGGAATACCACAAAATTCTGTAGTAAAATAGATTTTGTATCTAGAATTTAAGTCACTCTCATTTATTTGATTATTGTATGCTTCTAGAAAAGCCTAGATGCACTTTGCTGTAAAGGTAAATTTGTATTTGTTGGGGGGAGGGTAAAAAAAAAGATGCTGCTGAAAGGACTATGTAAGTTATGGGTGCCATTACTGAGGTGTTTAGGAACCACTGAGATATGGAAACCATGAAGGATTGAAAGAAAAAAATGCTGAAACAGAGAACAGTTTGTTCCAGCAAACTTCCTGATACACATACATTACTTTATTTTACAAATCATTAATAAACACATTCTTTCCAGTGTCATCCATGATCAGCCCTCGCAGCAGCTTCGGTGTGACTGTAAGTCGAGGAAGAATATATTGCCTAGGTGGCTTTAGTGGTGAGTCTAATCTCAATACTGTGGAGAAGTACAATCCCCGCACTGACATGTGGCACTGTGTTCAGTCAATGCAGTTGCGTCGATATGGACTAGTCGCAGCCACAGTGAATGTTCCTGGAGCAACTCAGCTTTAATTACGAAAGTGAAGATCCCACAGTACAGTTAAGCTGTTTTAATGAGAACTTGACTCGCCATTAAAACTGCTTATGTGTAATGTGAGCTTTAATTATATTATAAGGCAAAATGGAAGAAGAATGTGAGAGGTGTTGTACCTTTGTATATGTTACAGTCAAGGTGATTAGATGATAATATTAGCCATAAAAGAGTAATGAATGTATGTAAAACAGTTGTATGAAATCAAATAGCATGAAGAAATTCAGTATTATGTTTTAAATGGAAGCCAGGAGAAAGATTGTAATGTTCAACCAGATTTTAAAGAAAATTGTAAGCACATTTTGTTTGTGTACATTCCATATATGTTAGTAATAGGTTATCCAACCTGTGATATATAGTATCATGAAGCAAAAAATGTTCATTAAAATATATCCTTATTGTTATTACATGTGACTCTTGCTTCGCAAAGTACATAGAAGTACTTACAGCATAATCATACACACACAGCAGTAATAAGAACTGTGATGTAACATGAATTTTGGCATGAAATTAGTTTAATGGTTCATCTTCTTTGGGGATGAATATGTACTGAATCATTATAAAAGTTTTAGTAAAAGTTGAATTATTCTCCAAACTCATGGTGTCATAACACATGTGGAAAAGAGGTGATTTTTTATATTTTTGCCTTGTATGTTAGGTACACCAGTTTTCCAGATAAATTTTTTCCCTTTTTTTTGTAAGGTATGAAACTTCATCCTAATTAACATATACTTGTAAATGAAGAAAGGTCATAGAATCCTATTATTAATTATTAGAGTTGCTCATTGTCACTTTTCAAAAATATTAAATTACACTTGTGCTTCTGTTACATATTCATAATTGTTTCATTTGCATAAGGAAGTATCTGCAGTCACACAGATAACAAGAAAGAATTTGTTATATTTAACAGTTTTGTATGAAAGGCCAAGTGATTTACAACTAGATATATTAAATGAATACATACTTCATGTAGGGTTAAACTGTACAACAGTTCTGATAATACCATCAGCTCACAGGTCAGGCCATGCATGTAGTATGTAAAGATTCTGCATTATCTAAAGTGTTTGTGCATTATTCCATCATCATGCCGATGCACTTACTGAGCTATATGAATGAAAGTGCAACAAGTTGGTCGAGTCTACAGTACAAGCCCCTCATGTCCACAACTACTCAGAGCTAATGCCCATATCTTTACTATAACTGTATTTAAGAAAGATGTTGGAGATTTTGTAACAACAATGTACTGTATTTATTCATAAAAATGTTTAATTGAGGTCTCTCTAGAACCACAAATTACAATCCACCAAGTTGGTCAAAACTGAGGAAGGTATAGTAATATATTCACTAATCCCTCTTCTTTGTGGAGAGCTAGTCAAGTA